GGCATCTATCAATTACCAAGCGTTATCATTTCAGCGTTCTTTTTTGATTGCCTTGATGGTGATTGGTGCTAATGTGGGAACTCGTTTTTCTTTTCCAATCAGTGGAATCATTACTCAGGGTCTTTCACATTCTCGATATTCACTTACTTTTTGTTAGTTTTGTCCCCCTTCTTTTAATCAAAACAGGTCGATGTGGTAGCTGTTGGGATGCACTCCGAGGACGATCCCACCTCCGCGGACGACCCAATGGCGGTGAGTCAACACTGTCTGAATTATCCGTCAGGATGTAATTCTACTTATTTGCGTTGTGAGTAGGTGATCATCAAGAGTGGGTTTGTGTAGGTTTAAACGCGAAAAGACCAACGAAAAGTCTTGCAAATGCAACCAACTTCAAAGCTCTCGACAGCAAGACCTGGTTTACGTTCCACTACTCGAAAGCGCCTTGTTGTGAGGGGCTTACTAGGTGACTGCCCTTTGTGGCGATTGGAGAGTTGTGAATTAATTATAACCTTGCGCATAATTGTTAAGTCAGGAGAACAAAGTTTGCTTAAGTCTTAGGTAACTTTCCACTTCACAATTTGTCAGTCGTTGATGCACACTGGTGCAATTACTGGTTGTGCCTGCCTGACTAAATGAAGGGCATTTCTGAACATGTGGTGAAAGTGATGACTGGTTTATCAAGTGGAGTTCTTTTCAACTACGTTCTTATCCTACGGCAGAATTCCTTGTGACTTAAGATTGGACAGTGAATCAATATATGCTTAAATGCGCTTGCGATTTTATCCCTATTTTAAGCAATTACCTCAGAGAAATGTCCCAGAAGGCCTATTCACCCGCGTAAGAACTTATGAATGTCAGATTTTCCATTTCTACCAAATTTATTGGTACTTCCATTGATCCTAGAGACTAATATCTCGCCAACCTATTGTGCGATCAATTCGTCATTTCAGATCCCACGAAGACGCGGAATTTTTCGCAAAATTGACAGCTGCTCGGACGTCACGACGCGTCAAGTGATTCACAGGATCATCGCAAATCAGTAGGTTTGGCACTCTGTCTTTTTTTCTCTGCTCTCTCCTTTGCGCTATTCACATTCCAATGGTGGAGACGAACTACAGGAAATACTTTTTCCATGGCCCGATTGGAATGTTTTATGACTCCACCCAGTTGGATCGTTTTTTTTCTTCAACCGCAGTTTCTACTTAAATGAGTTAAGTACCTTTCTGAGTGATTGGGGTTTGCGTCTGCCATGTTGCTTTTGATTCAGATTAGGTTTCTTTTTTCCACAGCCAAGGTTTCAGCATGGGTTGAGATTTTTATTCTAGCATTTGCGCGTTTACCTTCTTTTACTATCTTGGCAGTATCTCGAAGCGTGGTTTTGAATTTTTTGAAGTATTTAAAAAGGACAATTGTATTCCCACCGAGACGTAACCACGTTGTAGGTAGTTGTATTGTAGGTCACCGAACGAAAAAACGATCACTTTGATTTTAAGTTCAGTAGTAATTCATTTTAGTTTTCAGTGATCGTACTTGCCTACTTTTTCGTGTCCTCCAAAGTGTCTGTGTCGTCTTGATTGCTTCAATTCAATGGGCATTTATGACTAGCAGCTTTTTACTTCTTAGCTGAATAAAAACGTGTTGAACTGTTCGTTTACGCTCTGCCTGTTGTCGCCTATTTAATTGGGATCTAGGGCTCCGTGAAGCATACGATTAGAGGAGGCCGTATGTCAAATTCGTCTTAAACGCCTCAGGTTCCAAAATCTGGAAGAATTTGCGCTTCTATTATGGACGCCTATGTTACTTAAAAGTAGGATACACTGGTGATTGTAAAATTGAGGATTTTTTTTGCTTTTCTTGCAAAAGGGCCTACGTGAATCGAAATCGATCCAAGGAGGCGCGAGAAGCGGAAGCCATCGCTCGCAGTTTGACCAATTCCAGTCTCTACTAAATCTTCTCCTGATTACCTTCTCTCTTTCATTCCTTTTCCTTCTCCGCCTTACTGTCGTCTTTCACATTAAAATCTGCCTCTGACACCACAACCAGACTTCGATTGTGATTAGTTATTGCCTTGTCTCTCTATGACTATTGGTTGCCTCTGGGCTGACCAATTATGATGCTTTGACTAAGGTGATTTTATTGGATGCTTAATTCCCCTTTTTTGTCTGCATTAAATAAGATTTTTTGATTACAACCAGAAGAATAAATGTTTCGTCCAATTTAATTGTGTACCAGGTTCCTTTACAAGTTTTGCATCCTTTCTTGTACAATTAACAGAAGTTGTGCCTTCCATCAATGAGACGGTACTAGAGTTACGTTGACATGAAAACCTAGGCAGAATGTGGTTGTAGCGATCCTCCTCTTGGTTTGGACTATTGTGCAACCCGTGAGCCTATTGTGGTGATTTGAAATGGCTCTGGGGACAATCACGTTAGTAATTTGAAAAATGACATCGCTAGTGGGTTAGATTTCACACCAAGGTTGTGTTTATGTAAACAAGACAGAATTTGTTTAATTTGGTAGTTTTTGAAGTGGTATCACAGCCTCCTGTTTTCACCGCCCACCGATAAATCACCAGGTCTTGTCAGCCCCCACAAGCTCTGCAGCTTCTCCAAGAAGAAAATCGATGTGGATTATTTGGCAATTATTTTTTTTCCCTGTGAAGGAGTCCTAAATATGAGAGTGATTTATTGAATCACGACTTCAATTTGTTTGATTGCAGTTAATTTGGGTTTTTCAGTGTCCCCTTCAAGGGTTGCGTGAGTTGACCTGACTTTCATAAAGCCTTCACCAAAAACTAGACGTCACTCTGCGATTTTGAGTGAAGTTCGTCCGAAGTCTTTTTAATGTAGATCTATTAGTCGAAGCAATCACCAATACAGCTTATCCTTTCTTGAGAAGATGCAAGTAGTAGTCCTGCGAATTTGGTGCCTATAAAGCCTTCTGACGCTAGGATTATTGAAAACATGCACCTCTTTGCCATCTCACTCTCATCTCCCAACTGCCTATTCTAATTCAAGTCTGGTCATGTTAAGGTCCAGTGTGAAAGCCAAGCTGCCTAGCCTTCCTGTCAGATGTAAGTTGTCTCCCGCCTACCTGGGAGAGAACGAAAATA